CACTGTTGGGTCGTTTTTATGGGAATCTTTCGTGCCAAACAGTCGATATCAGGGAAGACGATTGTTCTGTTATTTGATACTGTCGCCTAGTTTTCTGTAATAAAAGACACTCTTTTGCGCAGATCACGTTTTCGAAGGGAATCCAGCAAATGTCATTATTGCTTGGTCAGTAAAATGAAACTGCCGGTCCAGCTGGATGAAAAAAAAATCTACATTTAAATCACCATGGGCTTTATCCACCTCTAAAACCATTCCTATGTACCATTTTTTGTCATATACACAACATACATATATCCCAACATTAAAATTGTTTCTACTAGATATATTTTTGTTGAAGTTCCAATTAAGCTGTATTCATAATCATTGCTAATTCTTTTCATTCCTATTTGATGATTTGAGAGTGGTATGAAATTGTGAAATGTTCTGGTTCCTTTGATGGTCAAAACCCCAATCCGAGTTTGCAGTTTGGACCTCGATAATTTTAATTCTTCAGATGGAAGGTGGAAAAAGTTAATCGATGACATGTGTTCTTTACAGAATTCCATCATTTTAGAAACATCATCAATCTGATGTTCGGGTTCACTTCTTATATTTTTTAAAGAAGTTGTGCGTTTGATGGTACCACCAAGACCATCACAAGCGGACTTACCATGACTTGTGGCAAAAAAAGACCATGAGGCTTCTATGTTAAAATCCAAATTTTTCTGATCGTGTTATTGCGTCTCCAATATTTTTTTTCAATTCGTCGAGAAGTCTATAATAGTCTTTCTCCATTGCAGAAAGAGTACGAATATCTCTTTCTAGATTCGGAAGACTTTCTTTGCACCCTGTAAGCGTGAATGACAATTTTTTCCTGAATTTTGATTCCACCTTTTTTCAGTTTCCTCTTTTCATATTTCAAACGACTTTACTGTGAAAGACTGTGCAATTTTAGAGGCGATTCTCCAATGGACATCAAACTGGCATTTACAGATTTTTTGCAGGCTAAAATTCTATCTGGTTCTTTGTATTCATCTTATTTAGTTTCTATCACAAAAGCTTTGACATGACAATTCGTACAGATTCTCTTACCAGGGGCAATGAAAATATTCTGGCTCTTCGGGATGTTATGGATTCTCCAATTTATACTTCTTAAAAGGATTGCAGCACTTTTTTGGTTGCAAAAATTCATATTTTGATATATATATTTGGCCTCATGATGATGGCAAATCGTAGCAATATTTGACACTTCCACTCCTGTTCTGCAAGTCAGAAGGTTTCTCTCATTCTCATTAAAATCACTAATTTGTGCTCTCCCAAAATCCTTGCTAAAGGTCTTGATATTGCATTCCTCACTTAAAATATCCCCCAAGCTACAACTGCCTGTTGTCATTGTCCAGAAAAAAATTATGGCCTTGCACAAATATAAGAAGTCCAAAATTTCGAGCTTTAAATTAGAAGATGACACCAATTGTAAAGCATTTCGATGTAAACAATGGTTCACTTTGTAAATTAGGTTCTTGTTATGTCACAATGGCACATTTGCGATCTTGCGAATTTATTATGGCCGTTAGAAAATACTACCATCTGCTATAAATTTCCAGAAAGTACAACTTGATTTAGTACTTATCATAAATATTTTTAAAGTTTATTAGTAAATCAAAAATACATATTCATCGCCTTGCTTTATTAATAATTCAATTGTGATCATTTTAATCTACGGTTGTGTTGACGAAATAAAAGCAATACTACTCAGAAAATATCATGACAATCGGTGGACACAAAAATGCGTGATAAAGTGCCCGATCAAAATCCGTTTTATTTTTAGTATTTTGTATTGCCTCTTTTCAATTTAGAAAATTTGCATTGCCACCTACCAGAAAAAAAATATATTCCTCGTTGTTCAAACTTGCGAGAAACACCAACTTAGGGGACACTTATCGAGGTATCTATCGACGCGTGTGCATACTCGTGTTTTCGTCGGAAATCCCCTCGTTTGATTAAGCAACGCGCAAGTGACCTGTCGCGTCACCTGTTACCAAATTTTCGAATAAATGGCTATTCCAATAGTAAATGGCTATATGAAATATTCGAATATATGCCCAGCCCTACTCAGTAACTAGTAATCATAGACTCCGTTAATGTTATGTAAATAAACTTGCTTTTTATGTTTTACGTAAATCGTAACTTGGCTGATAGTTAAGTTTCGCAAAAACGTTTGCGGCCCGCAGTGAATTTCTGGCTTGTTGCGGACTCATTCAAACGCTCCGCGGACTCATTTGAGACCGCGGACTCTGGTTGGGAAACACTGCTCTATAGTCTATCTACCTTCGGAAATACGCTTTACAATAGAATGAAGAGAATTGTGAAACATTGTTGTTGTTAAATATAATTATATTTTTCCTATGTTGTCAAATTCTGTCATAGCTCTCGCTAAGGGAGAAGTTGCAACTGCAAACTTACGAATGCTATCCAATAACTATGTTTTAAAATGCATGAAAATGAATACAGGAAGCATATTAAACATCAGTATCAAACTAATAAATAAATTAAACAGTATAAATACATGACAATAATATTCTGTGGCCCGTCGCATCGGGAAGTTGAGTACCTCTGCTCTACAGTCTCTACTCCACTGAAGGAAAGTGTTTTATTTCCTTATCTGTTCAATAAAATGAATCTTATGACAAACTTTCCAAGAAAGAAAGAGCTGAGTGAAAAAATATTTCAGACAAAGTACTTATTGGAAAGTGATAAAAAAAATGAGGGTAAGAACAAGTGCATCAGATTCCTGGGATTGAATTTTCGTGGCAGATTCAATCAGCAGCACGCAATTAAGATAGTAGACCTTGCTATTGCAAGAGAACCATTTTGATGCAACTGGTAGCATCATCAAGTGATTAGTAAAGAAAATAAGATACCTTTTAATCAGTTAAATATCACATGTATTTAATTAAACAAAGTATTAGAACAGCGTAGTGAAATGAGGTTAAACAAAACACCAAATGTGCATATAAGCCTCGATTGAACCGTGCAATTTTCATAATTTTATTTGTGAAGCAAACGTGCATAAAGGTAAAATAGTTAACTGGCAAATTTATTTAAACAAAGTATTAGAACAACACAGTGAAATAAGGTTAAACAAAACACCAAATGTGCATATTACCCTTTCCTGAACTGCGAAAAGAGTAAATCAAGTTTATCCCTTGCGTGAACCGTGCGATTTTATATACTAGCATAAGTGGACGTGCATGTCACCCTTCACTGAACTACGCAATTATATGAGCGAATAAAGTTCATTCACTGCACTTTGTTGTATGTGTTAGTGAAACAGCAGAATGAAACAGAGAGCAAACACGTGCATGTTACCTGCGCTCAACTATGCAATTGTAATGGGTAAATTAAGTTTATATTGTCAGCATTTAGGTATGTATTATGAGTCGATAATTTATTTAGCCACCATAATGAAAATACATACAGAATGAGCTAAAAAGAAGAAAAAGTTGCATTTCAGGGTGAAAGAAGACGCGATAAACAGGGTTGGATATTGAGCAGCAACACTTATGGAAAAGTCTAACATTAATTCATACAGGAAACCGTGTTTCCCCGAAAATAAGACTGGGTCTTATTTCAATTTTCTTTCGAAAAATAACACTAGGCCTTATTTTCGGGGGATGTCTTATATTTTCATTTATCAAAAAGAAAATTCCAAAGTAAAGAATTACGAGATTATCAGATATACAAAATATGAAAACTGATATTCATGTACTTTTGGGTAACACGTTTTTATTTAAAATAATTGCAAAGCATAAATCCACAATAATTTAAAAGGTGTCGGAGAGTTTTCTTGCTATCGAACATGTCAAAAAAAAATTTGCGTTATTGACAATGGATTTTATTTTGAGGGCTTATATTAAAATCTTTTTTAAAATTCAAGCTAGGTCTCATTTCCAGGGCAGGTCGTATTTTTGAAGAAAACACGATAGTGGAATTAAAATATTAATCATAGAAATAATAGTATAACAGCACGAGCAAATGGCGGTAAACGGAAAGCAAACACGCTCATGTGACCTCAGCACACTGCGCAATGGATTATTTAAGTTTGTCTGCTACGTGGAACCGGCCGTTTTTTCACTTTGTAAGGGTTAAATTAGTTTAGTAAGAGGAAGTGATGTGAAACGCGTTTATGTAACTCGCCATTTACGGTGTAATCACAATTTATGATTCAAGATTAGTTTCGCTAAAAGAGCGTATTGACTAGATGCGGCTGACAGAGGAAAGAGTGAACAGTCAAGTATAGTTTATTTTTTCAACTAGTAAATAAAAAAATAATTTGAAGTCGCAAGGAACCAAAGCTGGTTATTGAGCAACAACACTCAAGTTTCAAATATGTAATTAAAAAAGTGACATTGTAGCGTTTGGAATACGGTGAGAAAGAACAATGTCTCCGTGGCAGGAAAAAATTCCAAGCAGAATTTTCAAGTTCGGTACCCACAGAAACCCATAATCATGTAATGACGTATCAGTCTGTTGGGATATTTTCGGTTTAAAGAGCATCTTCAATGCATTGAACAAAAACTTTTGAAAAGCCGAGAAATGAAGTTAATTTAAAGCAGTGGTTCCCAACTCGCGGGCCATCTACACCTCGCGTAACAATATAATATGGCTCACTGAACCTAAGTGAAATTGTTAAACACTTTAGGTTTTATGTGTGCGTTTTGGATTTGGCCAATTGTTACAATATTATCACTGTTTAAGCACGTATATATTTATAACAATTCAATTACCGGTATCTGAATTATACGTACAGGTACCGTTGTCAACTTCTTGCGGGCGCTCCCCCCTCTTGGACCGCGAATATCCATATGCTTCTAACTTGGGCCCCCAGTCAATTACCTTTGGAAACCACTGATTTGAATCCTCATTCAGATCTAATATGTCAGTGCTGGGCCTATAATACCATTGAATATTTTTTCTAGATATCTGCTTTATTCTTAAGCATTTAGTTGTGTCATCAAACCTTTCTAGAAGCAAACATGGACTTCGTCAAAATTATTTTGTTCATTTCTCTCATCTGTGGCTTGCTTGCGGAGATAAAAGTACCGGGTAAGGTTTGATTCGGGTGCAATTATCTGTTAGATTTGGCAAACCGGTTTACATAAAATCTTTGCCTAAATCGGCTTTTGGTATCAAGAATTCTAAAATGTAGGAACTTTTTAAATCATTCGAAAATATACCACATTCAACGAGTGTAGCAACATCTATAACTTTTGGCACATGATGTCGTTGTATCAAACTTGATAATATCACGTTTCATTTTGACAGCTGGATCCTGCGTTTCCAGGATCGTGAATGGGAAACTTGTCCAAGTTGGAGATTGCAAGGTAAATTAAGTTACCATTTTTATCGGGTGTTTTTACTTTTTGACTCTGAGCTAGGCTTTGGGTAGCAGTTGCTGTTATATAGAAAGCAGCTATTTTTGAAGAGTTCGAAGCTTCTCTAAATCACCAACCCAATTTTCAATCCTGCTTCTGCATCTTACGCAACTAATATAATCTAAACGACGTGTTATAATCACTTTCTAATCATCTGTATTTTATTTATTTATTTCACAGAAAGACGATGGATCCGGTGAGTTAACCCTACTTCATGATATATATTGTTTGAAAATACCTCTGTCACTGTAAACGTATGGCAGACATTTGAATCATAATTACGCAATGGTGCAAGAATATTCCCGGCGTAAAAGATAGTTAAAGTGTACAGTGGTTAGAAAGTTAAACAGGGTCGTCGATGGACAAAAAATGTGGACAATATAATACGATGGGAACTAATTTAAAAAGCCTTATCCCAAACACAAATAAAATATGTCATTCATTCACAGAAATTGCCAGATTGATCCAGAAAAGTCTTGATGAGAAGAAAAGAGCTGAACGTAATTTTATATTTGCGATTTGATAATTTGATCATAAAATATGCCACACCCGTCAAAGCATCAGTGTTTAAATTATGAAGATTTTCAAGTATTGGACCCCGAGTTGTCACTGGGTGATTAAGACAATCCCTCCGCCAACCGTGTACCTAAACTTGATAGCTTCTGAAATAGATTTGTCGTTTACTTCTACTTTTTGCCTTATCGACTTTCCTCTCCTCGAAATTTATAGATTGCACTATTTCCAAAATATATATTTTGAAAGGAAGTCTCACTGAATTAGCAAAGCAATAAAATCTCAATCCGAGACCGTTATAATATTCCGAAATTTTATGATAAAAGTTTCAATGACAACAATAACGTTGTTTTCAGTTAAATGTGACGTCACATATAAGTTAAAATGCTACCGAGCAGTTGTGTACGACGCAAAAAACGTCACCTTCAATGATGCCGAACCAATCTGCAAATCGATGAACGGAAATCTCGCAAATGTTTACGACGGCGCGCATCTCCAGCTGTGGCGCACTTATCTTTACCCACTGATACCTGCTGGTCAGACATGGATTAACATCTGGACAGGGATGGAGTATAAGGTCAGTTAATATATCGCAATCTCAGCAGAGTTTGACTCATTTTTTGTGACACACAGCTTGTCTCCAATAAAATTACAAAATAATGAGCAGGCTAACGATGCCTTATAATTTATTGTGAGATTGGATAATTAGAAACTCAATATACATGAATGTAATTCCAAGTATATTACAACGTCACAGACGAACCGTCCGATTGATATTCTGGTATTTCCGAATATTTTTAGATAATTTCTGGTTTTCACTCATTTCCGTGTAATTCTTAACACATCACTTGTCATACTTCGTCTATGATGATTATTACATTTACGATGAAACTCATTACTAAAAGCAAATATTTTCATTCTACATCTAATATGTCAGTTGCGTCAACATTTCGAGCAACAGATTTTTAAACCGTTCATTTAATTGTTACAGGACAATCAGCTTTTGCTGTCAAATGGAGAACCGATCACTAATGCAACAGAAGTGTGGGATCCTCATTATCCCGATTCCGATACATCGCGGACGAATGTTGCTGTTATTGTCGTTAAAAATGCAGCGTCTGAATATCAAGGATTGGGAAATATAGACCCAGGATGGGTGCGCCACGGTGTCATCTGTGAAATATAAAACCAGCTCAAAACCTGACAGAACGTCGTTGACGGACTGAATGATATGAACGACAAATAGTTGAACTTTTTCTCGTTTCGTTACTATTACTAACCAATGCCTTGAATTGGTCGCCTTGTCTATTTGAACTTTTTGCTTAGTAAATAAATTTATAGTTTTCTGTATATACCCAAACATGATAATAAACATTGATTCGATCATTTGTGGGTTCCTTTGTTCTTGTTCTAAAACAGCGAGTCAATTATTAGAAAAATCGCATGAAAACCGGATATCTGGGAACGGTGTTAAACTCACTATGTTGGTTTACAGCAGTAAACCAAACTCTTCCCTGATTAGTCAATGATGTGAACTCGTTGCAATGATTCCGCTCATATATAGAAACTGCTCTCGCCACGATTTTTGAGAATTTGATATTTTTATTGCATTAGTTTCTGCGATAGTAGCTTGTAATAATGTAAATTTCGCCAATACAAAGTACTGTGGAACAAGCAGCATAACGTAGGGTTCACCACTTACCAATAATTGAGCGAACTACAGTATTCGCTTGCTTTCAAAAGACTGAATATGGTGTATGTATTGTGTCGGTGCTCCGCAACATCTGAGACAGGGGCGTAGACAGGAATTTTCAATGGGGGGGGGGGGGGTCTGAAATTTAGGTGCTCCCGAAGTATGTGTACTAAATGGCGCACAACCTGAACATAGTATGTGTACCGGTCACGGTTCAGGTTGTGCGTCATCTTGATACCCATACTTCCGGAGCGCCGAAATTTGTATTTGTCGAGTTGGACTGTAACAGGTGGTCTGGCCGGAGGCCGCAAAACGCGAGTTTCTAAGACAACTGATGTTCTAAAATTGCTATGTATGATACAGAATGTTTTTAGAAATCGAAACTGAATATGTCAGGATTCGCCAGGAACAAGGGTCTCAAATGGAGATTGCGGACTAAAATGATGTCTTCCCGAGCATCGACTTCCTTGTTTATTTCGTGACATTGGCCAATCAGCAAGATGCAAAGAGTGACGTAGTTTCGCAAACATTACCTCGTTTCCGCGGTTTTGAAATCTATCCGTTAATTTTTGGTTGTGTTTCGGATATTTAAATATATATCAAATAATTCAATGATCACTTTGTCTTTTTAGGAGTTTCAGTTTAATTGCAGTAGTAGATTAGGCCGTGGGCCGAAAGCCGTACGGTGTCGGTTGGTGATGACTGTTTGGGGGGAATGTCAACTTTGTATCATTCGACTCAGAAATGATTCCTGATTACGGGAAACTAAAGTTGACATCTTAAAAGTGGAGCAATTATGCGCAAGAGGCGCCGAAACTTGTCTTGTCGGGCCACCTTAATCAGAAGAATGACGTAAAACATCTTTCGGCAAACTTGGTTGATTTGCAAATAAGAACGTAAAATAGGCGTATTTTGTGATATTTATTTTACATGTTTAATTATTTTCCAATTTATATAATTTTTTTTATCGTAATACCGTCATGTAAAACTGTCATATTGCGAATATTCGTCTGGTAAGATTTTTTCAGATATTTCAATGTAGATTAGTGGTGTGCAGAATCCGGTTGCCGGATTTAAATCCAGCCGGATTTTCATGACTTTTCCGATACCGGATTCGAAAATTAGCCACTGAGCCGGATTCATCCGGATTCTGAAAAATCGAAATATTTTACTTATTGATGGCGCTAATTACGATTTTTTTTTAAATTTTGGATAGCAAAATAATAAATTTCTCTCTATCCTATGTGCACTTCGTCAATCTGCACCACACATTTTATTCGCACGGGATTCAGTGAAACGTCGGCGCGTATGGTTTGGTACAAGTTCTTGTTCCCATCTAGCTATCTTGAAACTCTTGTTTGCTAATGGCTGATTCAAGTACCAGCACCGATGCCCTTGCAACACCTGGTGTGATATTCGAAAAAGAACTGGAAGAAGCGAGAAGCGAAGTTTGGAATAACTTTATACTACTATTCAATGGGTCAGAATATACTGGTTATGTCAGGTGTGGTAACTGCAAAAAAGATTTCAAACATGACAGAGCACTTAGTGGGACTAGCCATCTTGTAAATCATTTAACTAAATGCCGACGATTGAGCAATAGTCTGAAAAATAGCCAGGGAAGAATATCGAGTTTTTTCATGTAAAAAAAACATACCCAAAGAAACAAAACGTAAAGTTTTAGATGCTGCAGTTGCTTTTGTCGCTCAGGATACAAGACCTTTGAAGGCCATAGAGGGTACTGGATTACAGCAACTTATGAGCTGCTGTATTCAGATTGGGGCAAAGTTTGGTAATGTGCCTGTGATGGACATCATACCGTCTCGAACAACTGCGCAGCGCCGGGTTATTGAGAAGACAGCAACTGTCAAAGGCTCTCTCATAGATGAAATAAAAGTAGCAGTGGAAAAGAATTTCTTATTTGCTGCCACTTTGGATATGTGGACGGATGTTAAAATGCGACATTTCATTGGTTTTACTGTACACTTTATCGACGAAATGAACATCCTGGAGTCTCGTATACTTACTGTATACAGTTTTGAGCAAAAACCTAAATCTGGTGAAAATATTCGATTACGTGTGGAAACTGTTGGTGAACAGCTCGGCATTTCCCAACAAGAGCTTTTGTTGCATTGTGTGTTTGTGACTGATCAGGGTAGCAATATAAAGGTTGCCCGGTTGCCCTGGCTTATTACAAACGTGTGCCCTGTGCTTGTCACATGCTAGAGACTGTTCTTACTTACAACTTGACATACTTTACAACTTGATGCATTAAGTCGCACAGTAGAACCAATTACTTCTGATGATCAAAAAATGATATTTGTTGATAAAGTGAAAGCAACTGTCAATGGGATTAAAATTCTTGCAAAATTTGTGAAAATATCAGGATTACGTGATTCTATTTCTCCTGGATTAGTGCAAAGCTGTCCAACACGATGGAGTTCAACTTTAGCAATGCTACAACCTTTCACTCGCACAAGGCTCCGACTGCAAAGAGAATTGTCTGAATGTGGCCGGGAAGATAAATTATTGCCTATTGATTGATACAGCAGTAGTCTGTGATCTTATTCAATTTTTATTGCCATTTCCCAAAGCCATCAAATTTTTGGAAGGCGATTCATATTCTACGATTCACAGGGTATATCAGTGGATAGAAAAAAATAAAACGAGGCCAAAACCCAACGATGCACCGGTTTTAAAATTTTCAAAAGAAAGGGGGTTTGTGTGCTTGAGGGAAAAAGTTGAAATTCATGATATGCATCGTTTGGGTTTGTTTCTAAATCCCATATACAAATCACTCATCGTCTTCGATGATTATGAGAGAAAAAGGATATACGCAATGATTGAATATCTTTTAGAGCAATTTGAGTTGTCTGGCATAACGCCTACAGTTAGTGTGACCAAGGATGACCACACTTATGCTCCAGAAAAAAAAGACCAAAATATTTTGATGATGAGTTTATAGAATGGCAAGACTTGCCACAGCCTAGAGCAGGGCTACTCAACTGGCGGACCGCGGTCCGAATCCGGACCTTTTGAGTATTTGATTCGGACCGCACCTAATTCTTCATTTTGAATCATTAGCCCCACATCTAAAGTTTCATTTTACAAAATAACTTTTAGGGTGGAGATCAAAAACCTCATTAAAGTTAAATCTGGATTAAGACTGATACCGGATTTGTTGAACTCAGTTTAACTTTAAAACTTAATCGGAGATCAAAAACCTAGTTTACCTAACTAATCCTGGTTTAATTTCCATGCCACGAGGCATTTTACCAAAACGTCGTGGCGTATTGCCCTTTGACCCTGTATTTCCATAGTGATACGTTTGTAAACAGTTACTCCATTTTAGCTGCAGAGCGTGTTGTGCTGTTTCTGTGATTGAAGAAGTGAAATCTGTAAGCCGTGTAATTTTTGTGATTAGAAATAATTTAAAATGGATGTTATAGACATTGTGGAAATAGTAGATGAAGAGGAATTGGGCATGGGGAGACAGGGGGTGATTTTGAGAACGTATTTGCGTGACTTGCAAGATCCGTTTGGGCTGTTTAATGAGAAGGAGTTCATACAAAGATACAGATTTTCGAAGAATAGTGTACTGATTTTATTCGATATAATAAAGAACGATGTCGAAATAACTGTTCGCAAGCATGCCCTCCCACCTATGCTTCAACTCCTAACTACTTTACGGTTTTTCGCCTGTGGCCATTTTCAAATGACAGATGGTGATTTGATGGGAATGAGTCGACATACCGCACGCAGATCCATTCACAGAGTTGCGACTTGCTCCGCTAAATGGAAGCCTACATTTATTGATTTTTTCAGTCAAGATTTGTCTAAAGTAAAACGAGATTTTTTTGATGTGGCTGGGTTTCCGTCGGTTATTGGAGCTATTGACTGCACGCATGTGGCAATTCAGTCACCAGGGGGCGAAGACGCGGAGATATTTCGAAATCGAAAAGGATACTTTTCTATAAATGTTCAGGCTATATGCGATTCCAACAGAGTCATTACTAACATCGTCGTAAGATGGCCTGGATCTTTGCAAATAGCATCATACATGATAAACTAGAGGAAAACGGGATTAATGGATATTTATTAGGCGATAATGGTTACCCTTGCAAACCGTATTTGTTAACCCCTCTTTTGAACCCTGCAAGTGGCAAACAAAATAGATACAACAAGGCCCACATCCACACCAGAGCTAGAATTGAGCAGTGCTTGGGTATATTAAAACAACGTTTTAGAGTACTTTAATATAAAATGAGGACGAGGCTGGACAACACGCTAACCATAATTTTGGCAGTTGCTTGTCTGCATAATTTTGCTGTCAAAACAAACCAATCCCTGGAACAAGATGCTTTCGTAGACACAAGTGATGACACACACCGAAGTCACCAAGTACAGCAGGGGTCGGGCACCTTTTTGGTCAAGAGAGCCATAAAGGTACATATTTACAATTGCATTTCCGTGCGAGCCATGCAGCATTTTTTTCCCTTGATCAAGTCAACACATACAATTTCTCAATATACATTTAATGTGACTTCTGATGCTGCATATTGTTGCTGGGGCCTTGAACGAATGCTCACATGCAACACATTTTAAAATCGACGATACCCATCGCCTTTCTTTCTTTTAGGCATCTCCGTAGTGCTAAATATTATGAATAAACAGTACAAACGGACGG